CCCCAAAACCCCAAAACCCCAAAACCCCAAAACCCCAAAACCCCAATGCTTAGATTGGCAATTGAATTATTGAAACTTTAAAATATCTAATATATGTCTCTTTTGCATTTCTTGTTGTAGCGACTGAATACTATACTTCTGGAGATCATTTTGGAGCTCTCATTGCTATGGCCATTAAAAATAAAAACTCACCTTTGCATTGCTTCTTTTGAGCTAGCATTGATAAGCTTCCTAATTTCCTCTTGTTCTTTGTCAATCTTGTCATAATCGAGGTTGTAGATCTGTTTCTCTTCTCATGCTTTAGTGAAGAACTTACGGTTTGATTGCTGCTTAGCCTAAGGTAGGTTAATCTCATTGGGTTCTTACCTCTTGGAAGTTAGGGCTATCCGAGTGCTAAAGATGAGATTGGAAACCTTACAGATACTTCTTGACCATGAACCTCTTCGCTCTCCACAAGGTGGTTTACCTGTTTCAGCCTGGTAAACATTTTACTGATTTCGTGATGGATTTGCTCAAAATCTTGGACATCCTTCTTCGCAGAGGTCTCATTTTTATCACAAGCCCGAATAAGCTGGCAAATGGAATTTCTTTCTGTATGTAAGTTTTTGTGGAATTACGATCTTGGAGAATATTTCTCTTTTTACTAAGGTAGCCTTTTCTTAATTTCTTTGGTTTGGAATCTTTGTCCTGTTTGAGGGAGGCGTAAGTGCCGAAGTCGTAGTTCTGCCTGGATGTCACTGTAGTAAGTTCATCACTTCTAGGTGTCTTCAGTGGTGATACACTACCCTCAGCATTCAGACCAGAGCTTGTTATTTTGTCAAAATCAATCTATAATGAGTAAAAATTCCTACATTTAGAGAGTCTTTGCGTGTTGAAGGAGTATGGATTTTGACTGTATACATTGGTTCAGGTCTTGCCTTCATGATTCTCTTCATTGGAATAACCTTCTTACAGCTGTTTGGCCACATTTTCTTACAAGCCGATGCCAGACTATTATTGGAGGAGAACTTTGGTGTACTCTTCTTGTTCATAATCGAGTTTTCCCCTAAATTTTAGGTTTTTATGATTACTTGTAAATGTTTGCTTTGAAGCTAGTTTTGAGGTAGCAAACCTTGTTTGCAACATTGAGGACTTGTCAGTAAACTCTCGTGTTCTCATAGTCCCAAGATAATTTTTCTTGGAGGCAGGACTAACACTTTCTTTAATTGATTCATGAATCTTTCTCATAACTTTAGTACTTGTTGGATTATTAAAGACTATCAAGGTTAGCTGGAAAGTTTTATAATAAGAGTAATTGTAGTTTCTTACCCACTGGGCTTTTGGTTCTGATATAGCTCATCCTTCTGGGCTTTGTAAAGACTAGTAATATTAGATATACTTCTTCAAGCTGCTTACCTTGGCTAGATGATCTTCTTTGGATATACAGATCTTTCTTTACGGAATTTAAGTTATCAGTTTCTAAAACGATTATATTTCGTCCAGTACCAGATTCTTTGCTGGTGAGACTATCAGAGAGACTGTCTATATCATAAATTTTAGTACTTAGCAAAGTTTTGAAATTACTTACCATCTTCATCAGACTTTTTGACCTCTTTAAAGAATTTGAACATATTCTTAATCTCATTTTTCATCTTCTTGAGTTGTTCTGCCTTGTAGCGATTAATTTTTGCTTTTCTGATTGACATAGTGGTCTTTTGAGGATCGATGATCCATTTGGAATAAAATTTCTTCTCAAATCTATCTGAGTTAGGCCAGAGCGGAGTTGTATTACTTACTCATGAAAGATTCCTCCATTCTCAGGATTAACATATTCTAGAAAATTAGAAAATATCTACTTTTGGTCGGATTCATATTTAGGATTTCCAGCTTAGGTATTTTGAAGGTATCTCCTTCCCTCCTTTCAGTAAGGCAAGGAGTGCAAGGCGGTAGATACTGTGGAGCTAATGTGGTCTGAGTAGTACTCTTGAAAAGCTATACAGTCAGTTTTAAATCTCTTGTTTCTAGTTGATCTGATCAGAACCTCATATATTTGAATTTCTTACCTTATTTGGATTATTTCTATGCTCTCCGAAGGGCAAGTGGTTTTCTCCGAAACTTGGAATTCTCTGAGATAAGAATTTACTTTTCTCCTCAAGCTCTGTGGGTAAATCTTTGTTCAAATTAAGCCTAGAAGACATTATAACAAGGTTTTTAGAAGTATATCAGCAAACTAATTGCGTCGATTCAGGGTAGTAAAGGGTACTCGCTCTATTTGGTGAACCTACATTTCAATGATATTAATCAATAATTATATTAACAATACATAATCATAAGTCAGGGGTTTTGGGGTTTTGGGGTTTTGGGGTTTTGGGG